TGCGTATATCTATTAATTTGAAATTTGTTGTTCGAAATCATTATTTTATATTCATGAAAACATTTCCCCAATATTAAGCTTTGTATATCTGTCCTGGGTTGACAATACGCTGGGGTTTTTACTGTTTGATCAGCTCTTCCACGTTTCTTTGTTGAATTATGTGTTAGTCTTATCAAATCACACTTCTAGCATCACTAAAGAGACATTTTTCGTAATGCGCACCTGATTGAGTAAAATTGGTTCAACTGAGTCGAAACCTCTGCTGATGGACTGAATGTACCCGAGCTTTTTTATTCATGCAAAGTGCTTATTTTCTTATAATAATTAAGTGTTGTACGTGTTATTTATTTAAATCTTGTCTTATTTCAATTATTGAGGATTAGGGGGAAGGGCGATTTAGATTTAATAACAGGTGTCACATAAATATGTCTCGCCTATATGTAATTTTAAAAGCATAATGCAAATCTTAAAGTTAAAATGCCAATACATTTCATCATATCGAAAATTTGAATTTCCAGTCATGGATAAGTAAGTTGATCTTATTTTCTTTTCTTCAAATTACTGAACTACGGTAGAAGTAACACGAAGAAGTCGATAGTTATACTGTTGTTGTTCGAGCTTTCCGTCTGTTTTATGTTTTTTTTTTTTTTTTTTTTTTTTTAATGGCCATTGTTTCGATGATTAATATGTTGATCAACAAATCGTAAGAAAAAGGGGGACAACAGTATCTACATAAGAATTAGACGTGCAAATGATAATATAATCTCCATTCCAAATATCATCTACCCACCATGCACTAGTGGTTCCCCATTAATTGACCTAATCATAATATACTACATTGTGACGACGCCATGCTGCCGGAAACAACCTACCTACCTGTCTGCGCGATTTCGTGGAAACGAGGCAAAAACTACTTAAACCCGACCCCCAAATATGTGTCTGTTCCACCGGTCGTTGTATTCAGTTATATGTTATCTGAATGATTTATTTTTTATTCAGAGAATATAGTATTGATGGTAGAGTAGCTTCATATCGTGAGCTTATCCTCGCTATTGACATAGATGGATTTCTTCAAAACAGAATATATGACCAACGTGATGATTACAACTTTCCAATTGTCAACTTCCTATTTCTCAGCAGTAATATATCCGCTACTCCAGCGCTTTTCAATTACATATCTTAATTATTATGTTACATTAGTGCTAATGATACACGAACTTCGTTTACATGGTGTGCTCTGTATAAAAAAACTGCTCGAAGAAATAAGAACTAAAACGACACTACATCAATTTTACGGTCAACCATTAAGAATAAGTTGACCGATACGATGTGTCGGTGTCTCAACCTATTATCGACATGTTTTGTGGTGTACATCAGTTTACATATAGTTGCCTGATCTGTTTTTCTACCGATTGTGTCCCATTCCCAATAATGACATTATGACTGAATTTGCATTCGCGGGTGATGCATTCGTAAAAAAAGACTTTTACCTTGTCAACCCACCCAGCCTTGTTCACTTTGGAGTTCATTCGATTCTCCCAGCGTTTTTTGTTTTGTTTTTTGTTACCTTGATTTGTATATACGTAATCCATTTACTAGGAGATTTGTACATCGGTAAACTATTGTAGCCTTAATTTAACAGTCTTTGTTAAATATAATGTTTTTATTAGGCTAAATGTATTTAGTGCTTGACAATTTGTGTAGACGTTGGTCTATTGTTTTCGAACGTATGGTCACTTTTATGTCCGTTTTGGGTTTGGTGTCGTTGAGTTGCTTTCTCACGGACATCTACATCACATCCCATGTAATTAATGTTGATGTCAATTAAATGTGTGAAATCTGACATTCTGTTTATAAAAGATGATGAAATGTAAATGTAAGTCTTTACCAGAATGGAAGAAGCCGTACAACATTACATAATACAGATACTTTTAGAACTACAAGGCGTGCATAAAAAAACATATATCTTTCAGTTTGTCCTACTTGAATCCTTTACTTGGATTTGCGATAAGTGTTTAACATGCCATCCTAACCCTGCTATTTGGAACAAGACGTATATTAAAAAGTTTCCACCAAAGATGCACTACTTACATTTTTGTACGCCAGACGCGCATTACGTCTACAAAAGTCTCATTAGTGACACACGAATTCAAAAATAAAGTACGAAGTTAATGAGCATTGAGGACTCAAAATACCAAAAGGCTTTACCATCATTCTGAATTAACATTAATCTCAAAACTTAAAATTTGATTCCTATGGTACTTTTGGTCCTATTTCACTTTTGTTTGTTTTTGTTTTTGACAGACAACATAGACAATAAATTATAAAAAAAAACATCATGTTGTTGGTTGCATCTTTTATGTGTGTGTCTTTTGTAAAATATTTTAGAAATTTGACAGTTAAACATAGACAACGATTTCTATCATTCATTGCCGATTTATACATTCCCCAGCCGGTTGATTTTTTGTTGTATAATCAACGTTTGGTTCGCTTTGTCATTGTTCTTCAGTAGCCAAAACTAAATTTAGACGTCAAATTGTCTTGCTTCCATCTGAATATGCTTGAACAAAGGCGATTATGCCTGAGGACGTCAACAATGTTAAAATAAAAGAGAAAAAAATTAATCGGAAATAAACTGACAACGCCATGGAAAAACCAGAAAAGAGACAAAAAAAAAAAACAAACAAAAGTGTACAAAAAAAAAACATAGAAAACTAAAGACTACACTAACCCCACCAACTTTCATAAATCTTATGATACTAATTTTATCTTTGGTATTATTTCAAAAAAAATCTGTGTGGCCACCATAAAATTTCTGTAAATCTTCAAGAATTCGCTCCTCTAATTATTCTTTGAGAGTTAATTTATGTATTTGTCAAAATTGAATATAAACAAATTCAATGCTAATATGAATGAAACATAACAAAATAATGTCAAAATGATATCAAGAGGACATTTTATCGTTATATACACATATACACATCCTTAGTATATTGAAATGCTTAAATTTGTTTGGCAATTCTTGTGTACATTTTCGTCTTCTAAGATATTCGAATATTAGACAAATTGCATTACAGATTACTATGAAACATACATTTTTTTCTTATCTTTCTTCTTTTTCTTTTCTTCGTCTTCCATTGGGGATCTTCTAACAAACAAACTATTTCAGAATGGTTATTTTATCTCCCAATCATTAAAGGACTTTTTCCATCATTTCTGTTGATATCTATGTATGCGCCGTGCTCAAGAAGTGACGTATCAACACCAACATAACCCATCTGACAGGCAATAGACAGAGGTGTCGAGCCATCTTCCATACGTATGTTGATTTTGGCATTTTTGTCTAAAAGAAGTGCTATCTTACCAATGTCATTTTCGAAATACATGACATGTAGTGGAGCTACCCTACCTATACTGTATAAGGCTTGGTCTCCTGCTTGTTTTACATATCCAACAACAGATGAAGTTGGAAATTGCTCAGCAAACCAGAATGACCAAGCTTTCTCCAGATCTTCATTGTCCATTCTAAGTTTTTATTCCTTATTTCATCTTTTATTGTCTGAGTGCCGTATAGACCTAAGTTACAATCGGCAGAATTGTCAAGAAGTATCTTTACTACGTCTTTGTTGTGTGTTAACAGCGCTAAAAGCAATGGAGTAATATTCATAGAATCATTCAGACGTAAAAATAAACCCAAAAGAAAACAGCATAATAGAAGTACAACGTACGTTACATGTAATTAATTTTTAGCATGTTTTTAAGCATATTTTATTTCAAAAATCATGTACATGACATATACATAATATGAGACAGGTGTTAAGGGGACGAAGACTGAAAATCATTAGAATACAGGTACTTCACTATATCCCGTTAACAGCAGATTTATTTATATAAACATTTATTGCAATTCCCAGCATTATTTCTGGTGAGAAAATAATTCTTACGTCTTGAAATAATGAAAAGCTACTTTTTGTGTCGTAGGAAGGCGCCCGGGAAGGCGTCAAAGCAAAAAAAGCCTTTCAACACGTCATAATTATTTGAATTAGTGAGAAAGTAACTTGATTTAATTAAAAACATGAATTATACATAAAAATAGAAACACAGAATACATATTATTAGAAGTATTAAACATGTGGTCATGTAAGTGAAACTTTTCCTTGGATACGCTGATCGCTCTAAAACATTGCAAGACTGACATGTATTCTTCAGTATTGATTTTTATCCTTCCTTTTCAAAGATTTTTGGAAAGTTGTGTTCTTTTTATGTGACGTCTCAGGCATGGTCGCCTTTTTTCATAACGTCACAAGAGAAAATTCAGAAGAAACCAAGAAAATTTGACGTCATAATTAAATTTCGACCAATCATTTGCCGAGAACAAATTTTTCACTAGTGAGGAGAAATATTTTTCTCACACCGGCCAAGAAATGTGAAAATAGCACAAACATTAGAGAAATAATACTCTTTAGGTATTATATTTTGACCAATAGATTGAAATTAAAAAAAAAAACAAAAAAAACGGAAAGGGTTACACAAAGGTCTTGTTACGTCAAAATTACTTACTAAAACCACGCACCTGCACACATTGATGAGCACTGGAAAAGAACTGCATGTAATACATGACAAAAGAATGATATCTGTTTTACGACATTTATCTAACTCCTCTGCAGATTAACTTATGTACAACAATTATGAGTGATGCTATTTGCACTAAAACTTGCAAAGTCAACCTGAAGGGTAAATTCTCAAACTGTACGGTTACATCTGAGATTTCTATAACCACTGACACGATAGTTTCAAGTTTTAAGTATATATGTGGAAAATGATATGGTACTATTAAATGTGAAAGCCGGAGAGATCAGACATACCAATACAATAGACATTAACACTATTGAAGCTTGCAGGTAATAGTTCTGTGCTTTTTATAGTCTGCATGTGACACACTCTGCTCCGGCAGTAAATATTTTGGGTCTTCAATGAAGAGAATATATAAGTAAGAACAATTCAAACGAGAAAAAGTAACGTGATTTATGTACAAATCAATTAAAGAAAAAAAACAAATATGATATACAGCAACAAACAACAAGCTCAAAATAAAGGCCTCCTGATTTGGGACAGGAACATGCACAACGTGGTATGAAGACTGAAAAACTTTAAAAGTTAGTTGAAAAGGGCTTACTTAACTTATCGATATATAGCACAAAGTAAAATTAAACCATAGTTTTTTTGAAAACACTTGACAGTTAAGAAGGTACATTTACTAGTAGGTTTGATACCAGGCAAATGGAAGAGAAAGTTAAGATCTGCACTAATTAAATCTGTTAACCTCCAGAAATGTCATGAAGAGTTCGATTTCATTTTGTTGATTTCTGCCAAGTTCTCGAAAGGCAACCATTCAATGTCACGAAAAGCTGATAACAGTTGTCTTCTTAAAACGTACAGAAAAAAGAAAAATTGACTGACGACTGCCAAAAAAAACACAAGAGTAAACCAAGAACAAGGATGCACACGCTAAAATGTCTCGTCTTATTTACTAACCATTTATATTATGTTGATAGTCTTAATTAGAAAACTTTACTACAACTATGACATAAACTTAACAGATTCAAGAAAATGATGTCAAGGTCATATAAACCAAACGAGAAATACATGTACACCTCACAATCATTCAATACACTAAATATAGTTGACCTTTTGCTTATAGTTTCTAAGAAACAGAGTTAACCAAGAAAACTAAACACTGACCAATGAGGTCAAGGTCAGATGAACCAAGCCAGGCAGATATGTACAGCTTACAGTCCTTCCATACAACAAATATAGTTGACCTATTGCTTAAAGTTTAAGAAAAACAGACCAAAACACATAAACTTAACACTGAGCAATGGACCGTGAAAACGAGGTCTAGGTCATATAAAACCTGCTAGACTGACATGTACATCATAAAATATTTCCATACACCAAATATAGTTGCCCTATTGCATATAGTATTAGAAAAAAAGCCCAAACTCAAAAACTTAACTTTCACCACTGAACCATGAACATGAGTTCAAGATCAAATGACACCTGCCAGTTGGACATGTACACCTTACAATCATTCCAGACACCAAATATAGTAGACCTATTACATACAGTATAAGAACAAGCGTGCACACGCTGAAATGTCTCGCCTTCTTTACTAACCATGGATATTATGTTGATAAATATAAAGCTTTACTACAATATCACATAAACTTAACTTGATCCAAAAAAATGAGGTCAAGGTCATATAAACCAAACGAGAAATACATGTACACCTTACAATCATTCAATACACTAAATATAGTTGACCTATTGCTTATAGTTTCTAAGAAACAGACTTAACCAAGAAAGCTAAACATTGACCAATGAACCATGAAAATGAGGTCCAGGTCAGATGAACCATGCCAGGCAGACATGTACAGCTTACAATCCTTCCATACAACAAATATAGTTGACCTATTGCTTATAGTTTAAGAAAAACAGACCAAAACACAAAAACTTAACACTGAGCAATGAACCGTGAAAATGAGGTCAAGATCAAATAAAACCTGCCAGACTGACATGTACATAATAAAATATTTCCATACACCAAATATAATTGACCTATCGCATATAGTATTAGAAAAAACGACCAAAACTCAAAAAACTTAACTTCGACCACTGAACCATGAAAATTAGGTCAAGGTCAGATGACACCTGCAGTTGGACATGTACACCTTACAATCATTCCATACACAAAATATAGAAGACCTATTGCATACAGTATAAGAAAAACAAACCAAAACACAAAAACAACTATAACCACTGAACCATGAAAATGAGGTCAAGGTCAGATGACACCTGCCAGTTGGACATGTACACCTTACAACAAATATACTAGACCTATTGCTTATAGTATCTGAGATATGGACTTGACGACCAAAACTTAACCTTGTTCACTGATCCATGAAATCAGGTCGAGGTCAAGTGAAAACTGACGGGCATAAGGACCTTGCAAGGTACGCACATACCAAATATAGTTATCCTATTACTCATAATAAGAGAGAATTTAACATTACAAAAAATCTTAACTTTTTTTTCAAATAGCCACTGAACCATGAAAATGAGGTCAAGGACAATAGACATGTGACAGACGGAAACTTCGTAACATAAGGCATCTTTATACAGACAGGTCTTCCAGCTTCTTAAATATAAAGCTATTAAGAAGTTACTAAACGCCGCCGCCGGATCACTATCCCTATGTCGAGCTTTCAGCGACTAAAGTCGCAGGCTCGACAAAAACCGACCAAAACACAAAAACGTAACTATAACCACTGAACCATGAAAATGAGGTCAAGGTCAGATGACACCTGCAAGTTGGACATGTACACCTTACAATCCTTCCATACACCAAATATAATAGACCTATTGCTTGTAGTATCTGAGATATGGACTTGACTACCAAAACATAACCTTGTTCACTGATCCATGAAATGAGGTCGAGGTCAAGTGAAAACCGTCTGACGGACATGAGGACCTTGCAAGGTACGCACATATCAAATATAGTTATCATATTTCTCATAATAAGAGAGAAATTAACATTACAAAAAATCTTAACTTTTTTTTCAAGTAGTCACTGAACCATGAAAATGAGGTCAAGGACAATGGACATGTGACAGACGGAAACTTCGTAACATAAGGCATCTTTATACATAGCATGAAGCATCCAGGTCTCCCGCCTTCTAAAATATAAAGCTTTTAAGAAGCTTAACGACGCCGCCGCCGGATCACTATCCCTATGTCGAGCTTTCTGCTTTTGTCGCAACCTCGACAAAAATGATACAATGAGAAGTAAAATGAGAATCATGACGTCACAATAGAAAAATTTAGAAGAAACCAAGAAAATTTGACGTCGTAATTAAATTTTGACCAATCATTTGCCGAGAACAAATTTTTCACTAGTGAGGAGAAATGTGAAAATAGCACAAAATTAGAGAAATAATACATTTTCAGTTATACAGGTATTATATTTTGACAATAGATTGAAATTGTAAAAAAAAAATGGAAAGGGTTACACAAAGGAAAGGTATTGTTACGTCAGAATTATTTACTAAACCACGCCCCTGATCCTTAATTTGATGGAAAAAAAATATTCTGGTCAATCAGATGAAAAAAAAAAACATTCTGAATGCAGATTTCCCCCATACCTTTATGTTAAATTTTGAAAACAAATATTTGATTAATAGCGTCGAAAAACTAAAAAAAATCTGTCTCAGAAAAAAACCCATAATCCCCTTGAAGTTAAATGGTTACTCCCTAAACAATAATGTATTTTCTGGTAACAATCCAATATTTAGATTTTACACTAATAAATAATTTGATTTTTTGTGGTTTGATTTCGTAAATGCCACTTATATCTTTCATATTCAGTCAAAGGTCAACAGTTTTGTGAACCGTTGGCTCCTTGTTAAGGTTAACTGTACAGCATACTGCAATACGTACCACGTGGGAGGAATGAGGTCTTTTTCTATATGAAGGTACTAGTATACATAGACGTGCCTCTGGAATGGGTAACCTTTTTAATATGTCTGGTAAATATATCAATGGGTTGAAATTTCACCAAGGTAGTATACTACTAGGTCAGTAATTTTCATCTTTCAATCCCGAGTCTTCTATACCGGTCATAACGGGGGTCTGGATTGGGGTTCTTAATTTATATATTTTCTAATGTTAAAAGAAAATTTTCTCTAATCTTTAAATTTCCCCCAATTGTCCTCTATTCTTTTATTTTAGCACACAATTATTCTTTTGGTCCATTTTCAGCATAGGTATAGACTGATTATTCTCTATTTTTTATACTTTATAGTGTCTCTATCTATATAGAAAAAACTTCATTCATGTCTTAATATGTAAAACATAAAAAAATGCTGTATGATTGCCAATGAAACAAGTTCACCGGCATCAGACGGACAAAAAACGCAGAAATTAACAACTATAGGTCCTCGTTTACTTATAGATCTACAAAAATGAGCAAAACACATAACGCACAGAAAGCTATAATAAGTTCCGACATGACAAATGTAAACAATTCAAACGAAAAAGTAACGGCTTGATTTATGTTCAAATTAATGAATGAAAAAAAAAAAATATATATACAGAAACAAACGTCAACCGTGGAGTTAAAGAATACTGACTTGGGGTAGGCGCATGCTAAATGCGACAGGGTTAAACATGAATGCGGACGCTAACCCTCCATTTACTAACCTGGAAGAGTGGTGTTACAGCATAAAGAAAAACTTGAAAAAAAATCAGTTTTAATAAGCTTGACTCAACATATCAACATAAAACACACATACCAAAAAACTCGTAGTTACTGAAAGCTAATCTAAAGCCAAAATAAACAACAACAAAAAATCCTGTACTAATATACTGGACAAGACTGAGATATCAATAAGTGCACATTCAATGGATTTAATTAAAGTCGCCATAAACAGTCAAAGAAAAACATAGTTTTATATGCAATTCCAAAAGATAAATATCGACAGTATGTAGAACCGTAAATGTTCATATATCTGCTACCTTATCACAAATTAATACATGTTGACTAAGCAAAATTTTCAAAGTCAATAGACCATGACTAAGGGGCGGACACAAATAATCTTCATGGAAATGAGATATGCCAATGCCTATACAAATGTATACTAAATATCATTGACCTCTCACTAGTGGTTTCCCATAACTTAACCTAATCACAAACTAATACATGTAAAATAAGCAAAAGTTTCAAATTCAAACGACCATGACTGAGGGGGCAGGACCCAATAGTCTTAATGGAAATGAGATGTGCCAATGCTAATGTTCAAGTGGAATAATGTTTTGGCTTTAAATATTTTTTAAATTCATCACAGACCTTTGTGTACTTTTAATACTTTCCCCCTTTGCCAAACAGATAAATATCATTCTTATGTAAATACACTGATATTTCTTCAATGTATCTAGTCTTCACAACTTTTAGTTTTTAATCTTACAAGCGATTGTATTCGATATTGTCTATATAAAGTGCAATCCTGTCAAATCATTTCCGTATGAATCGGGAATATTTTGGACATTCTGAAAGAACGCTGAATTTCTTCACATGTAAATGCATGTTGGTATGCATCTGAAACAGCTTTACATAAAGCAGATCTTTCCAACTGCGAACCTGACACGCTAGCTTTACAATTGTCTGTAAACATACGTTCAAAAGCACTTAAACAATCAACTTGTAATGGCTGAATGGTCTTGTTTTCGTCTGCAGGAAGAACAATTAAAGTTATTTGGTTTTGTTCTGCCCATTCCAATATTTCAACAGATACATACATGTCATGTCCGTCAACGAGAAGAATTTTCTGATCTTGTGGTAGCGTGTGCCGAAGGAAATGAGTCCTCAGGTATTTTAAAAATATCTCTGATGGAAACAATTTTTCTTCTGCTGGAAACCCGAAACCTGGTTTACAATCTTCTTGTAGACGTTTTATATCTACCTTTGATTTTGCCTCGGGAAAAACATACCACGGTGGGATAACTTTGCCAGCGCCATTTGCACAAATAAACAAAGTGATGGCTTCTTCATGAGAAGGGACCTCTCTGATTGCATAAGGCCATGAGTAAGACAATTCGGTAGAGCTAAAACTATAAATTGAACCAGGCCTATCGGATAAGTCATGTTTGTTCACACAAGAATACAAATATGAAAAGAAACTTGAAACACGTGTCAAATCACGTGTTTGAGTTCTATCCATTTGTGCAAGTTTGACCCTCAATTCTTTAAGCTTTGGAAAATTATCACACAACAAATACAACCAATGTTTTGTGACTGGTTTATCATGCTTACGCTTGCCAAGGCTTACAGCATATTGACTTGATAACGTACACAATTCATCAATTGTATAATTATATCCCTGTTTCAACAACATCATTATACATTTGGTCAATTTTTCTGATTGATTTTGATCCAGGGTTGCATTTTGTCCTCTTCTTCCTTTCGTAGGGTTTCCCTTTTTAACTCTATCGCGTAGTGTGCTATCAGGAATCTTGAATTTCGTGCATGCTTCCTTAAAGGACATCCTCTTCGAAACAACTGCCTCGTATGCAATTATCATTTTTTCTTCATAATTCATCTCTGTTACTTCTTCCTTTTCCTACAGAATAATTATAATAAAATAAACACATGCGATAATCTTGCTTATTGCAAAGTATACGTTATTTGAGCAAATATCTGAATTTCATGTATATATAATTCGTCTAAAAGCATCTGCATATCGGAAAATGATACGTGTAGCATTCATGAGTCGAGAAATACAACAAATTAAAAACGAATTCGAAATATGATTGTTAGTTTATATAATGTATTTTTGTTATGGTAGATTATGTTTTCTTCGAAACCCAACACAACCTTAAATATAAACTTTTATATAGATGATGAAAAACTTTTTAATTGCAAAAAAAAACATTCAAGAACAAAAACGATGACAGAATATAATTAATCTGACACAGGTTTCAAAAATATACATAGTTCATTAATCTTTTCATTTAAAACAAGGACATGCTAAGGTACTTTCAGTTAAAAATAGTCAGTTCGAATGTCATCTGAATTTTTATCAGTTACTTTTCACTGATTCCAAAAATATACGATTTCTTTGTCTTTGCTTTTGAAATAAGGGAGATAATCGGCTACAACTAAGCAAGAGTTTCACGTGAGGACTGCTACTTGGAACTAGAGGCTCTCAAGAGCCTGTGTCGCTCACCTGTATTTACTGATGCTTTGGAAATCATGTAAAATAAGGTTAAAATCATAATTAATAGTATTAGATATTAGATATTATAATGATATCTAAGATAATAACAAAAACTGCAAAAATTTTGTAAAATTACTAACTCAGGGGCAGCAACCCAACAACGGGTTGTGGGATTCGTCTGAAAATTTCAGGGCAGATAAATCTAAATCTGATGAACATTTTTGCCACCTGTCAGATTTGCTCTAAATGCTTTAGTTTCAGAGATATAAACCAACTAGAGACTCTAAAGAGCCTGTGTCGCTCACCTTGGTATATGTGCATATTAAACAAAGGACACAGATGGATTCATGACAAAATTGTGTTTTGGTGATGGTGATGTGTTTGTAGATCTTACTTTACTGAACATTCTTGCTGCTTACCATTATCTCTATCTATAATGAACTTGGCCCAGTAGTTACAGTTTACAAAAATTTACAAAATTTATGAAAATTGTAAAATTTGACTATAAAGGGCAATAACTCCTTAAGAGGTCAATTGACCATTTTGGTCATGTTGACTTATTTGTAGATCTTACTTTTCTGTACATTATTGCTGTTTACAGTTTATCTCTATCTATAATAATATTCAAGATAATAACCAAAAGCTGCAAAATTTTCTTAAAATTACCAATTCAGGGGCAGCAACCCAGCAACATGTTGCCTGATTGGTCTGAAAATTTCAGGGCAGATAGATCTTGACCTGATAAACAATTATACCCCATATCAGATTTGCTCTAAATGCTTTGGTTTCAGAGATATGAGCCAAAAACTGCATTTTACCCTATGTACTATTTTTAAGCCATGTCGGCCATCTTGGTTCGCGGGCTGGGTCATCGGACACATTTTTTTAAACTAGATACCCTAATGATGATTGTGGACAAGTTTGGT